CAAAATATCAATAATATACCAAATCAAAAAATAATAATTCCCAATCTTTCTCAAACCTTTTACTCTGATATACCAACACCCATAACATTCACAAGAAATACGACCATTCCAAATCATCCATTTCAAAATCCATTTTTTTTTTTTCCCCCACATAATTTCAAACAAACATAATTCACTACCCAATTCGACACTATACACAAATCTGAATCTTTTAAAGTCACAAATATTCGAATCTTCAACAATCACAAAATTCCTTCAATTCTGAAGTTATCAAAAATTCCCACCTAAACAAATCCCATCTTATCCTACCCGAATAATAATTTCTTCTTGAAACTCAAATTAATCATATATAAGTAGCTGTAAACCTGAGCCTGGATCAATATCCTAAACCAATATTTAGCTCAATGTAATAAACTTCACTCCCAAAAAACCACCCACACCACACACCCCCCCCCCCCGGGAATTATGTTTTGGTGTTGTAATATGGTTTTATATAATTAATATATAGAGGAATTTATCCATTCATATTATTTAAGTCTAATATATTAAATTAAAAATTTGTTACATAAAAAGCATTATTGATTTAATTATTATTATTTTTATTATTTACAATTTTAAAATTGAGTATCATTATAACTTTTGGTAAGAAAAACGATTAAAAAATAAATTTTCTTAAATTGTTGTATTTTTCTGTGAAACATAAAGCTAATTCTATTATGGATGATTCCATAGATATGTATGTATAATCTGTATAAATAATTGTCATCTCAGTTCCAGCTTATTTAAATACAATAAAAGATAAGCCACAAAGGATGTTGGCACCCTTGCTGGTCTAAAAGTTTTAAGAATTATTAATGAGCTTAGAGCTGCTACTATTTGTTTATGATTTATATAACAAATCCAGCTATGAAAATAAAATTCTCATCTTTGATTTAGGAAGTGGTACTTTAGATGTCTCATTGTTGTCTATCGAAGTTGGTGTCGTTGAAGTCAGAGCTACAGCTGGTGATATCGACTTTGGAGGTGATGATTTTGATAACAAACTTATCCAATATTGTTGTAATGAATTTTTGTAGAAGAAAGGAATTGATATTAAAGGAAATCCAAGTTCATTAAGAAGACTTCGAATCTAATTTAAAAGCTCAAGGAGAGTATTTAATCAGCCAATTAATCTACAATAGAAGTTGACTCATTAATTAGAGCTAAATTTGAATTCAATCTCAATGATATTGCAGTAGATTTAGAAGGTAAAATAGATATTGAAGTAATTTTTAAATTTATGAGGATGGATTCCTGATATTTTTTTTGTAAAGGATTACCAAAATTCAATAAAAGGTGATTCTAATGATTTTGAATTTAACCCATCACAGAATGAAATTAAAACTAGTTAAGTAGGCTGAAAAATTTAAGGATGAAAAGTCACAAATTGAAAATTGGTTTAAGGATTTTTGAGTAGCAAATATAAATTTCAGAATTTGTTTTGAAAAATTACCTCAATGATATCGGGGATTTTCTGAATTAATCCAATAAGTTGATTGATTTTATCTATGAAAAAAGAAAAATTCATTGTAATATATGCCTTGTCTTTTTCTCTTTACATCATAATTTTATTATGAGACAATAAAATAAAGAGATATATATATCAATTATAAAAATAAAGATAAATTCAATAATATTCATTTCAACATATTACATATAAATGACTGAAAATGAATAAGTAACAAGGCCAGCTTAAGTGTACTAAAATATAATATAATTCAATCAAAAATTCCAAAATATTACATGGGTTTTTATAAAATTTCATGCTATTATATTTATTAGTGAGCTGTTAGTTTTAGGTGCTGGTTTTCCTTTTTAAGTTAGAACTTTGCCTTGTGAGTTTTATGCTTGTTTTCTAAGTAATTTGATAAAAGTATCATAACCATTTAGAATAATTATGAAATATTAAGCCAAATTTTCTTTAAGATTTTTTATTAAACAGGATATACAAATTAGGAAAAACGATTGAGATAGGATTCAACTTTACACTCTTATTTTATCACTCAATAATTCAATGAAAAGGAATATCAATATTTTAGATGAAGTAAGCTTTGCACACAATATCCCTAAATATTGGCAAAGGGCTAATTAAGATAAATTAGAAAATTAATGGAAAATGTTCAATTTTAGGCAGTTGTTTAAATCAATTACAACTGAATTCTTTATAAAATGATATATATTAGGATTAGGATTATGCTATCAATTTACTTTTTTCAAACTTAATAACTTGCCATTCTAATAATGAACCGTATGGTAATTAGTTTTATTCCTTAATTAATTAAAATTGAATTAATGTAAATACCAATACACTGCAGTAAAATTCAACTATAAATCCGACTCCATCCATTTACCATTTTTCTAACCAAAATTATAAGCACCTACTGAACTTAATAAATTCACTAATTAAAAATTACCAATATTGAAAATTTTTATGAAAAAAATTCCTAAAATACAATCCCCAGAATCCTTGTTTAATTCCTTCCTTATAATCCCCCACAAATCTGAGTTAGGAGTCGCTAAAAAATTATTGTTTTTTTGACACCTTCTGAAATTCTGATATAACTCAATCCATTTCCCTTTTTATTTTCCTTCATCATCATATTGACCACCACCTCTTTATAATAATGAAATATGTAGTTTACATTGTTATAAAATTATCTTTTTTCTCATCTCTAATTTAAATATTCCATCTTCCAATTTTTTTACCATTATCATATTCTCCAAAAGATCTAACTTAACTGCAACTAATATGACTAATCAAGTAATAATACTTGTTAAAATTCTCAGATAATTCAACCCAAATCCCTTTTTTTAATTCTGTTTCGTCATATAGGCCACCTCCTCTAGGATCACTTTATTAATGTTTACATGCATTCATATTTATCTACAAACTTAAGTTCTTTTGAATAAAGTATATCCCATTTCCCTATCTTTTTTCCATTCCTATAATTGCCTTTCCATAGAATTTAACAACCGTATTTATTTGAACTATTAAAGTTCGCAAAATTATTGTGGAGTTCTGTCCATTTTCCTACTTTTTCTCCTTCAGTTCCATAGAGACCGCCCCCACTTTAAATTTGGTTTATTTGAAATACATAACAAATTTATTTTAAGTACTAATATCTATTATATTCCATTATCCAAACTTTTTTCCATTTTTATACTCTCCTTAATAAATTATTTGGTAATTGCTAAACATAAATTAGGCATTTACTTTGAAAATCTATCATGTACATGTACCCAATTTCCAATTTCAACCCCTTTTGAATTATATTCTCCTTCACAGCTAATATAAATAACATTCGTATAGATTACATGATATTTTCTTTAAAATACGTTACCCATTTTCCAATTCTTAATCCATTATTATATATCCCTTCATGAGTAACTTAGGATATACTAAAATGAATATCTTGAAAATGATTATTACTTGCAATAATTATCAGATAGTTCAACCCATTTCCCAATTTTAAGATTATTCTTATCTACTTCTCCTCCTGCATTTATTATTATTCTTGCTTCCCAAATAGGACACCATTTAACAGTATATTGTAAATTTTAAGTTCCCCATTTTAATTTCTACACTTAATCAATATTAGTAAGAATCGTAGCATACTTTGTATTTTACTCTCTAAATTAATTAATTCTCACATTCTAAGTATCTCTCCATCCATGCTATATCTGAATTCCCCATTCTTACACTCTACTAAATATTAGACTGGTATAAAAAAAGAAACACGGCTAGGCTATTCAATTTCTTTTATCCCTAAGATTTTATATACTCCTTCCTTATAATGCTACTTTTAATTTTATTAAATGATTTCTAATTTCTATTCAGTCATTCGTTAAACAAGTAGTAATTGAATGATGAAAAAATTTACTATAATTATTTAAATTAATCTTGTTCAATTAAAATAATCTTTTTATGCTTTTGCGATAACAGAAATTATCAGGGAACTATAAATAAAATTATTAATTAAAAATAATCACAAATTTCATTTATTCAAATTAGATGTGTTGGGAACCATGTTTATTATGAAGGAGTACTTTTATATGAAATAATCATTGCATTCTTCCATAATCTACTTAAAATGATATTTTTTAGAATAAATTTTGAAATGTTTATTTATTTATCAAATTTCATTTTAAATTCGATTTGAATAAATCTAAATTTTTATCAACATTTAAGCTACCATTTGCTTAGTATTATATGAATAATTCTTGATTACTAAAATTCCTTCAGAAAAGACAACATTTTAATGTAATTAATCATTTTTATAATTGTGTATTTTTTATAATCTATTTTTTATTAAATTTAAATTCTTTACTTCTTAATTTATTACAACAATTATGGCGCGCAA